GAATTTGCGGAATAAATGAGAGAGGCAAAATGGAAGGCTGACGGTGCGGCGGATGAGGAGGGTGGGACGAAGGAAAGGTCGCTACGTAGGCGATGGTAACCGTGGTAGATAGCGGGAGATAAGTCGTGTAAAAGATACAGGAAATCTGCGACGATACGCGAGAGGGCGGGCGAGCGAGGCGGGAGGTCGAGAAAAGGTGGCGGAGGAAAGAGGTGAGCGATAGGGAAGCTCCGTGAAGGAAATACAGCGGAAGGAGTGACACCGGTGCCGTGAGAGATAGCGGAGAGACGCGGGAGAGCGTTGAAAAAGCTCAGGAGACAAATCTACCTCGTAGAAGGCGGCGGCGGCGGCAGCGGCGGCGGCAGCGGCGGCGATGGCGGCGACGACGGCGGTGGGGGCGGGGCGGAGGCGTCGGAGACGAAGGGGGCTTGAGAAATAGTCGCGAAAGAATTTCTTATTAGATTGAAAATTCAAATAAACTCACAGTGACGTCGGTTGCATCGATTCTCGAAGCTCCTACTGTATCCCGATCGCTCGAATCGGGTCACTGGAGGACAGATATCTTGGCCGGGATAGCTCCTGGGAACGTGACGCGCATCGCGATGCGCGTTATTTGCGCTCATAAAGAGAGGCAGGTCAGGAAGAGAGCATAAGCGAGATGGCGGGTAGCCTCGACGGGTGGCGGGTAAAAATATCGGGGAGCCCGGCAAGAGTCAAAAAATCTGATCGTGTTGTAAATGATCGGATGGACTTTTTACAACGACTCCCAGTGTATTTAGAGCAATGTAGCGTAAATTGTTCTTGAGATAAATCTGCATATATGCTGTAGTGCACGTGATGGATCTAAATATAGTGCGGCATGCGTCATAAAAAGCCTCCATTGGAAAACACTTTGCCAATGTCGACAGGTGCCGCGGCGAAAAAAATTCATGGAAGTTTGTCAGAAAAGGCCGCGCATCAGCGCCTTAAGCGGCGTCTGTATTTTCAGGGCGGAAGTGCGAGCGCATCTGCCGCCGCGCTGCCGATCTTCCAAATCGCTGTCTTCTATCGTTATCACGAGACGCCTCGGACACCGTGCTACATACGTCGACATCGCGAGAAAATCCCGGGTTTGTCACGGGAAAAATGACTTTCCAACAAGCGCTCACGCGATCTTGCCCAAACGTCTGTCGGAGCCGAAATTTTCCGAGCAATTTTTTTCCCCTCCCCGCGACGCGGTGCCTGCCGTTTCCCGAGGAGATTGCGAGAGCTCCGAAAATCCAAATTTTTAAAATCACCCGCGCCCTGATTAAATAGCGCGATTAGCCGGGCGAATACGAGCGACAGCCATTATTCTTGGACGTTGCATATTAAATCACAATTCATGTCTAATCGCCGCGGCGTCCCTCCTATTCAAATCACGGTTCTGCGTTCGTCGATTTCCCGGGGAACTGGAACGGCAGAGGGAGAGAAGAGACAAACGGAGGAGCAAGAATCGGCAGCAATTAGTTTGGCATCGGCGACTCGCGCGCGGACCTCTGACCCGAATTCCTGCGCATCCTTATTAGCTCAGGCTCGGTCCCTTCGTCCTTCCGTAATAATCGCCCGCTACTTTTTCCGCCTGTCGGCTCGCATACAAATCAGCTCTCGCGCGTGTATGTATATATGCACGGCATATTCAATTTAATGAGACAATTTAATCTTCTCTCTCTCTCTCTCTCTCTCTCTCTCTCTCTTTCTTTCTCTCTCTCTCTTTCTCTCTCTCTCTCTCACGATTTCGGACGATTGCGATCGAAAAGTGATACGCTTTTTATTTCTCCGGCATTGTTTGCTCGCGACTCACATGTTATACAATCCCGGCAAAAGTCGCGTTTGTTCATCTGCAATATCGTCGAAAGTGCTTCCGGTAGACTCATTAGCAAATCGCGCTTTGAGTTAAGTGGAATTTAGCACGCGAACAACAACTGTAGCTCGCGCGCGCGATGCATCTCCTCGCGGCAGCTAACTAACTATAATACTAATCGGATTGCCGAGACGAAATCTCCGTGTCTAGATGTAGAATTTCTGTTGGAGGATTGTAATTCGTTCCGAACGCGCCGTATATCGTCGCGCGGTGAGTACTTAGAATTACGTCAGGCATATATAATATTTCGAATACATATATCGAATATGTAGAGAACGGTATTTTACAACATTTAATTTGCTCGATGTCTCATCGTAACGCAGTTAGATTGGAAAAAGATTTATACGCGCGATTAATCTCCAAGAGCCTGCATAAATCCTAAGTACACTGTATCTACCGAAGCGGTTAAATTCAGTCGCGGTTACGTCATTGCGTCTGTTAAACGTGAGGAATATCGCTAATGCGCCGCAAACGGTAAAATTCCGCCTGGCGACTACGGAAGCTATCACGCGACGGCCAATAAAAACTTCACGTGCAACGGTAATCTGGAACGTATGGTGACGGGGCCGTTGGTTGTGTAAAAATTCATGAACGTCCACCAGACGTTCGTGTACCCGTTCGAGCGCGCCATGAATGAAAGAGAGCCGATGGCCTAATCAAACTAAAAAATTCAACGCTGTGTTCACGTCGATTCTTCTCTCCTTCTTGTTCTATTCGCTCGCCTTATCTCGCTTATGCACGCAAGATGCTGGAGATCGCTTTCAAATTCGCTTTCCCGATGAAACTTTAATCAAACATCAGCTTCTACGTTCTTCTAATCTCTATATTATCAGATATTTTAACGTTTAAATGAAATACATTAAAATTTTGTTTCAACAGAATCCACAATGTGAAGCTGAATGAGCAACCAACGTTTGTTCGCTATTTATATTTAAGGTAATTCGTTCGCATAACATAGTCTGCGTATGATTCAGCAGGTAATTTCTCCAGAAACTGCGAGCGATTTTACCTTTCAATCCTGAAGCCGGAAAAAAATTGTACTCAGTTTTTCAGCACCCTGTATTTTTGTCCTTTTACCACACCTCCATTCGTGTTGTCGCTCCTTCTCCGTTTATTTCCTCTTTTGTCTCTTTCTCTCCTCCCTTCCTTCGTTCCTCTTGCTCGCTTTCTTTCTCTGACAGTCCACTCCTGCGAGCAGCAGCAAATCAAACGTCACTGACGTGCATCGCAATAATTCACGAACTGTACGAAGGGAGAACACGAAATCCTCGACAGCAATCGCTATCGACGTCACCTGGCTGCTTTCCTTCTGCCCGCCGTGCCGAGTCAGATTGTCAGACATATACGGTGTCCTAGATCAATCGTATTTCCTTTGACCGGCGAATTCCTTCGGTGGCTTTCAATTAAATTTTGCCGCAATAAATTTCACCCCACTCCCTTATTTATTTCCCTACAAAAGCGAATGCGGAAATTTATGGACAGATCACACAATAACACATTCGAATATATTTGTCGAATTGACAATGGTGACATACTCTCCCCTCTTCTCTCTCTCTCTCTCTCTCTCTCTCTCTCTCTCACTTTTCCCTCAAGTGCAATCCACATGTTGTATTCAATCTCCAGGAGAGTAAGAACAGACTCAGAAAAGTGGTGGACGCGCAAATTCGTTTTTCCGTACACCGGCAAGAGGCTGGCCCCGTATTTCCGTTCGGTAATCGAACGAGTTGCGCGTGCGGTAAGGTCCGTATCCTTTCAAAGGATTCGCGAATATTAAACGAGTTGCCGCGAACCGTGAATCAAAGCGGGGGCTCCTCCTTTGAGAGCTCTTGCGCGCGATTCGGCGCGCTCCAGACAATTTTGCATCTCTTACGAAACTGCGATAGCAAAACAAGCGCCCGGCGGAATCAGCGAAACAGACACGTAAGCAAATAAACTGTATATGAGATCCCGGCCGCGGCGAGCCGATTATATTCCTCTGGCAGTTCGCGAGCGCGCATCGGCATCGCTAGAATCGAATCCCGGCGTAAGTTTGTTAAGTTCGCGGACAAGTTGGGAGAATAAAACAATTTGCGAGGAAAGTATCTGGGAAAGTGGGAAGAGTATCAGCGTGATATTCAGCGGAGCTCTGGTTCCGAAGTGCGGAGTATTGCAAAACCGCGAGTGCTGATTTATATGACGATCGACCATACTGGAATTCCAATCTTCTCGAATTTCCGAGAATTTTCGGACTTCCCGGGAAACCGTTGAATTTTTGCGTTCCATGAATACCTGTGTGCAACCTCCTCCCCCTGTCTCTTTCTCTGTCTCCCTCTCTCAGACACACACTCTGTCCTCAATTACGTCGGAAAGTACGACACTTTGAAGGGAAAGGTGCATTGAAGGGTCTCTGGGGTCAGTGAACCCGCTTCCTTGACGTTGAAATATCGACCACAGACATTCAGCATTTCCGGTGCCTATTTTAATATTGTTTGGCCGATGTCGGGCTAGTTGCATGCCTCGTCGCAACGTAACAAGATCACCCGTGGACCGGCAGCTGCAGCTGCAACTGCATCCGAGCCATCGGAAACAGATTATCGTGCAAAACTTGAGACTGCGGATTACTGAGGACACGATATTCAGCTTGTCGCTAATATGTCATTCCGTTGGCATTATAGCCCTTTCATTCTCTAGCGATTTACGCTGATATACGTTACAACCCGGGTCTCCCGACGTCGTGCTAATGCGTACACTTATTACCCGAAGCGTTTGAACAATCATTCACGTCTGCGTTAAAGCGTGTGTTTTAAGCAAAGCTTAAGCGTAATTGCAAAAATCGCCGGTGGATGTTTCTCGTCGACAACTGGCAGAATTCCCCGCTGACGTTTCCAGACTCGTCATTACCTTTCGAGGAACGCAGTTTTACAAAGCAACGAGTTACTTCGTAAAAATTTTACCGGCATTTTCCGCGCAACCTTCATTATTATTTAATCACTTTTATATTTCGCACATTTTCAGCGTCCCCATCGTGCGAACGATAGCTGCGCAACATTTCTATCTTTATCGAGCATCTATCTCTCCCTCTCTCTCTCTCTCTCTCTCTTTCTCTCTCACTACATGTCGCGCTGAACGACTGTTGCAGGAATGAAACCGAAGATGAAGAATCACTACAGGGCGCATCAGCTGTCGGTCTGGCTGCGCCTCGTCCCGGAGCTTCATCGCGCTGGAATGGAGGATGTCGATTCTAGGCATAACCTGTTCCGCGGCCACAGTGACCCCAGCCTATACGACGGCTCCGTGCGGCCGGATCCTCTCAGCAGAATCAGCGAAGAGTTCAAGAGGAAGAACCTCAGCACGGAGCCGCCTACCACGACGGATTACAGCATGACGACGTGCGTCAGCCTCATTCAGAGCACCAATCTTCAAAACGTTCATAACGCCAGCACCGACACTTTAGCCAGCTTGGACGCAGCTGGGTAATTATCTCCAGCTTTCCAGTGATCATTTGCTCGTCACTCGAAAATATCGCTCGAAAATACCCGCTGCGAATTTCATGTTTCGTTTGATTTCGTCTTTCGGGAACTCCGGAAACTAACGACCATTAATTTTGCGGAGTACATTTCTCCTGTATCATCGAAGCTTCCCAATGAGTATATTGCTCCCTGCGGAATTCATTTTGTTCTTGAGCGTGCAACTCGCACAGTCCTCGCAGAATTTAAGCGTGTACTAATGGACTTCTTTGTGTTCGCAGCTACGCGGCATATTCTACAGCTTTGAGCGTGACAATCGCGATCGGCTGCAGCCTGTTGATCTTGAACGTCCTAATTTTCGCCGGCGTCTATTATCAGAGGGATAAAACGCGGCTCGAGGTGAAGAGTCTTCAGCAGCAGCAGTTGTTAAATCAACAATGCGGCCCTCGCGGCTTCACCGAGCTGAAACAACCACCGCCGCCGCATTCTCACTATGCCGGTGGGGGTCAAGTGATCGTCGACGTTGAGAATGAAATGTTAAGAAGGTGCAGAAACATTTCTTACTTATCCGCTCTGTTTTGCGTAATATTCAGTCAAGTCGATAAGATTAAAAAGCCTGAAGGGAACGTCGGGCAAATATACCTCCTTGCGGCGAATCCACTAAAAAGAGAATTTCGCTCTGACTAAGACTAACTCCGCTTAATAAAGGCACCTCGTAGCTGTATTTATTTTCTCTCGCACGACGAATTTCTCGAATAATTCCATTGTTACAGGAACGTGATGAAAGGAGGTCCTAATGATCCGAACGCCCCTTTCCAAAGCCAAGGAACCCACACGCTGCCTCACCAGCATCATTATCAGAAGCAGCATCAACAGCAGCATGCCACCCTCCCTCGAGCCTCAGTCATCCAAGACATTAACACGCAAACTCAAGTAAATAACTCGCAATTTGCGCTACTCTTGCCTAATCATGAAAAAAAAGATAATAACGAGAGAATTATTCAGAAAATTATTAGATTGAACAGAGAGAATTATTTTAATGAGAAAATTATTATTGTATTATTATAATATTGATTTCATTTTATCCGTTTTGAATAATTTCACATGCATATAGTTATTGCATTTATTCCAATATTATTCCTGTAAATATTGTGGCACACAACGAAACAAAAAATGGCTACTCGGGATTAACAGTGTTCGTTCGATATTCGCGCGCGTAATATTTCCCTAATAAAACGCGGCGCGCCATGGTCTTTTAAACTTTTCCTGCTTAGAAATTTAGTATCTGAGTAAGGTATGACGTAATCAGAATTATGATCATAAAGTATCTCCGGAGAGCGCCACTACTGCTCCGCGTATATTTTATCTGGCCGCTTTAAAATTCTAGGGAAACTTCTTTAATAGAATTACGAATTGAACTTTTTTAAAAAGCTTCGCGTGAAACTCTTTTTTACTCGGAAACGGGTAATAGCGCTATCGGCAGTAAATATTTTATTATCAGTCGTCGTGAGTTCGCGCGCGCGCGCGTACACACAGAATAATGTATTATATTGCGAGCGCGCCAAGTAACAGACGAGCAACTTTATCGAGTTTCAAAGCGATTCGGATTTTAAGTTTCTCGATTTTAATTTTTTTCTTGGGGCGCCAACGCTGTGGCGCGCGCGAGGCGATGCGCCGAAGTAATGCATAGCTGTAAAGTTGGATATGCATCCGTGCGTGAGAAAAATTATTCGCCTGCGAGTTCGTGCCTAAAGTAAATCTTCCGAAATACGTTTGAAACGCCCTTTCGTTCCGCGCGGCATCCGCATGATGACAACAGACGACTGTTGAATGGAGTGCCTTCGCTCGAAAATCGCGTCAATTGTGGAAACTTGAGAAAGTGCTCCTCCATATTCTACAAAGCCACTTCTGAGCGAACTACTCATTTCTTGCCCCTCTCTCTGTCCGTTTTCCAGGGTCCTCCGAACGGATCCATCCACTTGACGGTGCCACGAGCTCCTCCGCCACCCAGAGCGAAGAGTCCGCCGGAGAACCAGCCCCTGCTGCAGAACGCGACCGTGTCGAGTCGCGTGTCGCAGGCGGCGATGAGCGAGATGCGAGTGTGATGCTTGGACCCCCCTCCGAAGCCAGTCGTTCCGGATGTCCTCACGGCGTCGACCTTGCTCTAGGCGGCTCGCCACGGGCCTGCTGAAGCGGACCCTCAAAGGGCCATCGCTTGTTCAGCGGACCGACGTGGGATATCCCGAGGAACGCGAGCTCCGGACGAACGGAGGGGGGTGCTGGAGATGGTTTTCTCATTGCCGAGGAGTCGAAATCGCGTCTACCGAACACTAAGCGAGCGAGAGAGAAAGAGAGAGAAAGAGAGAGTGTGTGTATGCGTGTGTGTGTGTGTGAGAGAGAGAGAAAGGGGAACGGAGACAAGGGTGCCATAGAAGTGCGCTGTCGTGAATTCAGAGCTGCGAGGATCGTACGATGAAGCAGTGAAACGCGACTTAAGGACATGTGATTTCCTTCGCTTTTTCTCTGAAGACTGTCTTGCGCACGACCTTTGTGAATTCTTGTACCTAGATTTTCCAATTCCACGACACGGAGAATATAGGATGCGCTTTTACACCGAGGTAAAAAGAGAAGTGGAGTTTAAAACTGCACTCTCGTAGAATGGTAAAACGCTCTTAATTTTCACGTGACCGAAGAGGTCGGTGAAAAGAAGAAAAGAGCGGCCCGCTGCCATTTTGAGCGAAGGTACCACGGAAAAAGGATTCTCGGTCACGATAATCAGCGGTCGAAGTCGCGACAAACGATAAAATCAAAAGAGGACTGACCGACGGCGCCGCGCTCGAAGCTCTCGACTCGCAATAATCGGTAGACGTCGATGAATATTTGCCAAGTCAAATATCAAAGGAGGTACATGGCGAGTCAAGACGCGCTCGTCCCGAAGCGATCGAAAGCTTAATCAAATTCTGCGCGAAGGAGTCAAACACGCGACACGTTCCGCATAGTTAGTCGATAATGAGAGAGAGAGAGAGAGAGAGAGAGAGAGAGAGAGAGAGAGAGAGAGAGAGAGAGAGAGAGAGAGAGAGAGAGAGAGAGAGAGAGAGAGAGAGAGAGAGAGAGAGAGAGAGGAAGGAAGAAAGAGGGAAAAGGAAAACAGAAACTCTCTAGTCGTTAGAGGAGATGACGCGAATGAGTGATAGTGGGTGGCTCAATACGAATCAGCGGCGGCGAAACATGTGTAAAAATGAAATACTAGCCACTACGATGTTAGATGTTCCTTGTACATAACGTGAATTTATACCATAAGGACGCCAAAGTTTGCTACTTTGTAAGAGAACGGTATTTGCATTATTACGCGTATCTCTTTCATTCGTATGTCTCTCGGTTGATATATCGACGTCCACGCGTGACGTCACATTGTACGAGTGTGTGGGAGAAATTTCGGGAGCATAATGAGCGAGCTTATTCATCGACAACACCGATATTACGCTTCTCTGAGTTTTCGGAGCTTCCTTCACCTTCGAGTCCTCAGATCAACGGTATTTCGCGAGATCTCGTGATATCTGCCCACGGGCTCGTTTTTCTTCCCTTTTGTTTTTCCATTCTCTATTCTTAGATCCTATGAGAATGTTACTTTCTGCGTAGCAAACGCATTCACACGGCATTCACAGAGCGCTCGAGTTCCGCGTTCGTAATCGCACCACGTGAATCGAAATTAACTGACTGACGCGAAAGGATTCCGTCGATGAGAGCGATGTCGCTCATTAACGTTGCTCTAATTAATACCGACTGCCATGCAGGGCGGCTTCGCTGCGTGGATGTGTGTATTGCACGTATTGAGTTATGATATACGATACGCACATAATATGATCTTCGTATCCTCTCCATGTACACGTATTCGCGCATGTGTGTTATATATATATGAAGGGTGACCGAACGGTTCTCGAATAATTTTCCCCGCGGATCTCTCTCTCGTTTTCGCGTATCGCTTCCTTCTTTCTCTCGCAACGCGATCTCTTACCGTTCGATGTAAACTGAGAGTCTGTGTACAAAATACGACGCGAGCGCTGCCGCCGCATCGATCTCTTTGTCCGCATCTCCCGCGCTTCTTTTGAATTCTTCACATTTTTCACCAAGTGGTCATCCTTGTTATATAGAGTGTTTCACACTCGGCGTACTGTTCGCGACAGCCCGATCCCCTTCAGAATTGTCATTCCCGTCGCAAGACACGACGAAACGTTGTCTTCACATCATCTGGTGTCGATTCTTCAAAGTTTGACTTCCATCGGATACACCGTGTACGTGATTACATTTTTTGTATAAATATACATATACGTACGTATAAGTGTAAAATAAAGACTAACGTAAATCTGTTATGCGTAATACACTGCCACAAGACTATAGAGAATTAACGAGGAGATCTCACGAGACCTGCGATTCTTTTCATCTTTTACGGGATAACTACTTCGAGCGATTTTGCAAGATAAATTCATATATTTATTTAAACGTATCAATCACATAGATATATATACATATACACGTATGCAACGATGCGAAGTGCATTTTCACGAGTGAACTCGCCGATCGGACAAAAGCCATCTCCAAAACATTCGTCGTTTTGCACAAGTTCCGTTGCGTGAAATCGATAAGTTTTTAAAGATGAGAAGAATTGGTAAACCGACTGTCATCAAAATCCCTTTCGCGAGGATCAATTAATCAAAAGATCGACAGAGGAAAGTCAAAGTTTTGTACATAAGCATCTTTGCTAAACGTGATATCAAAAAGGACATCGTTTTGCTTGCTTTCTGCGCAAAACGGCGGTCGCGGCCACGAAGTGACTTAGTTAGCTCCTGGTGTCCTTGGGTCCTCAGGTCCTCATAATCAAAGGATCTTACCGTCCTAGAAGGATCTTCTACTTTTTTAATCGAACGATTCCAAGCTCGTAAAACGGAAGGATCTTGAATTGGCTGCGGAAAGCCTCGCTCAGAAAACGAGGACAAAGGACGGATCCTAAGATGTAAAAAAAGAAAGAAAGGAAAAAAGAAAGAAAGAAAGAGAAAATAGACTGGAGCCGCGACGCCTTACAGAATAATCGCGATTCGATCCGAACGTATCCGAGATTGGAATATCCAAAAGAAAACTAAAAAGGTGAAAGAACGAAACGACGCCATCTCGCCGAACGTAAATTTTAGCAGGATTTGCAAGCGCAAACTAAATATCGTGGGCGTTGTACGATATCATCATCAAGTACGGGACAATCCGAATATAGTAAAGATTAAGGAAAAAAGCTCGTAATAGTAATAAGAGAAGGAAATGAGTGGGGGGGGAGGGGAGAAAGGGAGAAAGAGAAGACGAGGAAAAGAATACGCCGGACAGTTGAGCAGATGTTTAAAAATTTAAATAAAAGTAAATATATATTATATATATATATTATATATATATATATATAAATTATACGGATCGTAATGAATCATTATGATGGATATTATTATATTTATGTGAGACCTTTAGCTGGCCTCGCGCTCTCCTAGAACGATACCTCGATTACACCTTCCGGCCGAGGGCGAGGCTACCTGTTACGTTTAACGTTTTGTTGTCAAATTGTAAATATATAACGATATACATGGAGGAGCGTCAATCCTGTGTTCTTTACCACTTGCATCCAACTTTCCACCTGTTAGTTTTTTCATGCGTAGGCACATACTTCTTAATCTTCATAAGTTGTCATCCGGTGACAGAAAATGGTAATAAAAGGATTGACTATAATTTATTTTAAGAGCTCTTTGTCATTAAACTCTTCTTCTTTGTTACTCGTTTATATCTGAGTGTTCAAATATTTATCTTCCGGGACCTGCAACTTTTCTACTTCTGGATATTTGAACATGCTTTCTTTTTAGTTCTTGATTCTCGGCAACTTCTTTTAATCGCCTATGTACAATCACTCATTATTCTTTTCTTTTCTTTTTGTTTATTCACTAATTGCCTGCATACAAATGACCATCCGACGTGAAGCCATATTGAATTATGAATAATTAATTTTGAGGTAATAAATGCGTTGAGGTAATATGCGTTCGTATAATTAAATAAAATATTTATAAAGGTCGATAAAAAGGTGTATAAATTAAGAACAAAATCAATACAAAACAAATTTATAGCGATTATTTGATTCTCTTATCAATGTTTAGTTCTTAATGATTAATTTAGCTTTGTACTAGTCCAAATATAGCTTAATTAGCCGAATAAATTCAAAACAATTCTTTGTCTATATAAATTCTTAAAAAATTAAATTCTGCCTAATCTTTCTCTCTCTCTCTCTCTCTCTTTTCTTTCTCTCTCTCTCTTTCTCTCTCTCTCTCTTTCTCTCACTCTCTCTCTCTCTCTCTCTCTCTCTCTCTCTCTCTCTCTCTCTCTCTCTCTCTCTCTCTCTCTCTCTCTCTCTCTGAAGAAAAACAACAGAATGGCGACATCTGTTTTGTTTCAAAGAAACAGAGCAAAGTAACTGCATTACTGCAGCCGCGCTCACCATATACCGACTGAAGATGCATATTATGCAAGAGGATACGCAGAAGATAATCTCAAAGTTATACCCTTGGAGCAAGTCTTATCAAGAACTTATCTTTGGGAGACAAGTATAGGATTTGAATGATGTGGCCATCCAATATCCAAAGAGCCAACGATGAAGTGCCGAGTTATCCATACACGGTACAGCCACGACCATTAATGTTATCCGATATATTCGTATACGTTTTCACATTCATTTCACACACCAAGCGAGCCTGTGTGTCATCCGTGTACAAATTGTTCACGATCGACATTGTCTATTATGTAGCGACCGCCTAACCGTTTAAATCGCACCCTGTGTGTATGTATGTATACGTGTGTGCAAGTTGAATATAATTATACCGTACCTCTCTAGATCAGGCAACATTAAAGGCCTCGGTTGTACGTGAAATAATAATAGAAGAGTGATGGAAATATTGTTAATATTGTGTAAATAGCAGTTTTCAGTTTAGACGAGATGTATACACTAGCCATAACCTAAACTTAAATCCACAACCTAACGGTCACTTCACCTTATTCTAATTTTGTATAACACGCTTGCGTCTGCAATGTATTAAAAACATATGTTATTCTACATATAAAGTAATATTCTCATATAATTTTTTGTTAATCTATGAAACACACATTTAACTCCCTTCCAGACCTTTCTTTAACTCTTCGGGCAATCTGCTATCGAAATATTTTGCAATCATTTCTTCATGCTATCGTTTCTTTAATCGACGTGTAAAATGTAGACATCGAAGTTTCTGACCGAAAATTTCCACGTTTCTGTGTGAAATGAAAGTAAGATATTGGAACTCCTTTTTTTGGAAAGTGATCTTACGTTTGGAAATTTCACAGAGCCTTAATTAGTCGAGATGCGCTGAAACGCAATCGCGAAATGTTATCCTTTCATGATGTGTAACAATTCGTGTAACCGCATTCCAGCCCGTGCCTTATGTAATTAATATTGCCGGTGCATCCCTGTACGCACGTCCGCGACGCAAAATTCGAATTAATTTGCAACGATATTTTATTAAACAAAATAGATAACCCGATAGGATATATGCTCGTTAATATGCAGAAACACTTGTATATTTAATAAATGCAGTTCGCTCACATGTAACATTCAAGGGACGACATTTAAAATAAAATTAGTTATCACAGTCACTTTAATTAAATGCGGCGCAAGAAGATTTAGTATGCATCCACGTTTTATGAGATCTCCATAGCGTCCTAAAATATTTTTTTAATTGAAGAAACTTATCGCAGTGCAACAAAGCTGATGATTGATGATAATAAAGGAGCACTACAGACTTTACGTCCTTTCACCCCCGATGCGAGTCGATTGCCGAAAATTACAACATTTAATAACAACTCAAGCGACGCACGCATATGTGCTTTTAGACCTTTTCTATTCAGCACACGTGTCAACGAGACGATGAAGAAAAGATTCGTTTGGCGCCTTCGATCTTAGATTCAGAGTCTTCTTTATACGTGTAATATTTTTCTCTAGATT